CATCGGATGTGAAAACGGGTCATGGATGTGGGGTTACAGTGAGCTGCTCTGGCTATGGGGGCCCAGCGGTATCTGGGTATTGGCGCCTTGGGGGAGGCCCAGCTTCTCTCTAAACCTGGCCACTTTAAGACGGGGGAGACTTCAACTCCCAGAATTCCCCTGGCAGCAGAGCAAAATGAGCTGCCCAGGGAATCCTGGGAGTTGGTCACTAAGTCTTCAAGTCGGCTGGGGAGTTCTGGGAGTTGAAGTCTCCCCCGTCTTAAAGTGGCCAGGTTTAGAGAGAAGCTGGGCCTCCCCCAAGGCGCCAATACCCAGATACCGCTGGGCCCCCATAGCCAGAGCAGCTCACTGTAACCCCACATCCATGACCCGTTTTCACATCCGATGGTCCCCAGGCACGTTTGGCTGTCCTCCAGTTAGCTCTTGCGTCCCCCTCCCTTCAGCAAACCTTAGACACCCCCCTCCCCGCCATTCTGTGGGGCAAGGGCCAGCCTTAACGGGCCAGACTGAGTTGAAAAACTGGCCTCAAGGAGGAACAGGAGGTGTGGTTAAAGAATTTGAACTCAATCCTTGGGCAACCGGAACTAATTTAACCATGCTTGGACTCTCCAAGCAGCACACAGGAGAAGTAAAGGTTCCCCTGGCACATCTGTGCTAGCCGTTCCCGACTCTAGGAGGCGCTGCTCATCTCCGTTTAAGAGCCAGGGCTGTCCAAAGACGTCTCCGTGGCCATGTGGACTAAACGCTGAAGGCGCACGGGACGCTGTTCCCTTCCCACCAAAGGTGGTCCCTATTTTTCTACTTGCATTTTTTACACGCTTTCGAACTGCTGGGTGGGCAGAAGCTGGGGGAAGTCACGGGAGCTCACTCTGTTAAGCAGCGCTGGGGATTCGAACCGCCGAATGGCCGGCTTTTCTGATCGACAAGCTCAGCGTCTTGGCCACTGAGCCACCGCGTCCCTGCTACCCACCACTGCACAGCCAAAGGGAACACTTGTTGGGAAAAGCTCGAGTGTCCCTCCGTCTCCAAGGAGATCCCATCAGTAGATCCCAGAGGAACCAACCCTGACTGGCCTTTGGAAGGGCAGATCCTGAAGCTGAAGCTCAACTGCGTTGGGTGTTGGGGGAGTGGGGAGGCCCAGGCAGAAGGCGAGGAGACGGCTAGGGAAGGTCATCGAGGGGGGAGGATCGGAGGGTGGGAGAGGGAGGGGCTGGCGTGTAGTCCTCGACATACGCCAAAATGGAGCCAAAAATTTCAGTTGCTGAGCAAGACAGGACTCAAGTGACTTTTGCCGCACTTTCACAACCTTTCTTGAGTCATTGCCGTCATTAAATGAATCGTGCGGCCGTTAAGCAAATCTGGTTTCCACCACTGACTTGGCTTTGTCGGAAGTTTGCAAACGGGGACCGCGTGACTCCGAGGTGGTGCAACTGCCGTAAATACGAGTCAGTTGCCCAGCGCCTGAATTTTGATCAGGTTAGTCTGGGGGGGCCACCACGGCCGTGTGGGGGAAATGGCCATGTCCGTTTTTTCAGCATCGTCGCATTGTGGAACGGTCATTAACTAGAATAGAATAACAGAGTTGGAAGGGGCCTTGGAGGTCTTCTAGTCCAACCCCCTCCTTAGGCAGGAAACCCTACACCGCAAATGGCCATCCAATCTCTTCTTAAAAGCATCCAGTGTTGGAGAATTTCTCAACTTCTGGTGGCAAGCTGTTCCACCGGTTGATTGTTCTCACGGTCAGAAAATCCCTGCTTATTTCCAGGTTGAATCTCTCCTTGGTCAGTTTCCGCCCATTCTTCCTTCTCTGGCCTTCGGGGGCTTTGGAGAATAGCTGACCCCCTTCCTTCTCTCTGGGGCAGCCCCTCAAATATTGGAAGATGCTCTCCTGTCTCCCCTGGTCCTTCCCTTCCCTAGACTATCCAGGCCCAGTTCCTGCAACCGTCCATCGTAGGTTTGAGCCTCCAATCCCATCATCCTGGTTGCTCTTCTCTGCCCTCTTTCCAGAGCCTCAACATCTGTTTTATGGTGTGGTGTCCAAAACTGGACGCAGGACTCCAGGGGTGGTCTGGGAGTTGTGGGTGTTGAAGAAGAGACTGGAGAGCCATTTGTCTGGAATCATATTAGGTCTCCTACTTGAGCGGGGGTTGGACTAGAAGACCTCTAAGGTCCCTTCCAACTCGGCCTGATCTCGATTCTATCCTAAATGCTAAATGTTGTATGTCAAGGACTTCCTGGGCTCACAGAGATTCATGCGCAGCTCAGCCAATGAGCCACAAGCAGAACATCCAATTGCCCACTTCCTCGACCCGCGAAGGCCCAGGGGGGGTTGACAGGCGGGGGCCCCGCAGGCCGTGGAGTCCCGCCACGCACTCACCGAAGAAGGTCTTGACGCTGCCCTTGATCATGCGGCACCAGTGGGTGAGGAGCTCCAGGCCCTCGGGGGGGAAGGGGCTGGCGGCGTCCATGTGCCGGATCTGCTGCAGCACCCGCTCGGCCCCGGAGAAGGCCTCGTCCGCCAGGGCCACCAGCTCCAAGCCGCCCATGGTCCAGGTGATCAGCGCCTTGCGCATGGGCGTGTTGGCGTAGAGCCGGTGGGAGCGCTGCAGATAGATCTCGATGTTCTTCTTCTCCAGGGAGGCGTAGAGCTCCTCGATCTTCCGGGCGGGCAGCAGCTCCCCGTGCTGCTTGCGCAGGGCGGCCACCTTGGCATCCAGCAGGTGCAGCCGCTTGGCGCTCTCCTTGCTCTCGTCCTTCATCAGCTCGTAGTTGTCGCGCAGCTTCACCTCGAAGACGTCGTCCAGGAAGACCCAGGAGAAGTGCTGGACCTTCAGCAGCAGGTCGGGGGGCAAGGGGTGGGAGGGGGTCCTGTCGGCAGCCGCCTTCCCCCCGTGGAGCCCCCTCAGCCACTTCTGCACGCCCAGCGCCTCGTCTAAGGTGGCCGAGAAGTCGTACTGGTAGGGGAACTCCACCGCCACGCCGGCGCAGGAGAGGGCCCAGACACGGTTGCGCAGCGTGCAGAGGGAGGGGAAGGGGCCACGGTGCAGGATCATCTCCTCCAGCTCCGGCTGGGCCTGCAGCTCCACCTCCTTCAGGACCAGGATGCTGTTGCCGTCAAAGCTGGCCACCAGTCCGGGGCAGTAGGCGTGGAGGGAGGGCCCGTGCCGGCTGAGCATAACCCGCTCGGCCACCAGGCTCAGGTAGCGGCTCTCCGACACGAAGGCCGTCACCTTCAGGGAGCTGAGCTCCAGGGTCAGCCCCAGCAGCCTCTGGGGGGCCGAGCCCTCGGAGAAGGGGGCCCCGTCCTGGGCGGGGGGCCGGCCTTCGGGGGCCTGCTGGGGAAGGGCAGCCGAGGGGGGCTTGGGGGGCGACAGCAAGCTCTGCAGCGTCTCAAAGCAGCGGCGGGTGGCCAGCAAATGCTCGAAGAGGTACATGTGGGTGGCTGGGCTCCAGAGCAGCGTCAGGTTCTCCCCGCATTGCACCTGGGGGAGGAGATGTTGGGCCATGAGCCCCCCCACAAACAAGGCTGCCTGCTGAGCCCCACTCCCCCCCCCTGGTTTTTCCAGCCTGCTCTTAAGAGACAAAGGGGAGGAGGGTGCGGATGGCTGGGAACCATTAGGCCAAGCAAGGCTGGAACTGGGCGTCCTGGGAGGGGGCAAGGTTGCATTGGACCTAAAAGCCCCCCCCCTCCCTGAACCCAGAATAGCTTGGGCTGGGCTCTGCGGAGCTGGGCTTTTCATTGGCCAGAGCTCCCGAGGGGTCTTGGGGGGCTGAATGGGGCGGGAACCCAGTTCTCTTGCCGTGCAATTGGGGCTGGGGGAGGGCGACTGGCGAGGAAGAGGAGGAGGAGGAGGAAGGGGCACCTCCAGAGAGCGGATGCTGCTGCGGTAGGTGAGGCAGACGGCGGCCAGCCCAGCCACGGGGCTGGGGATGGCGGGGGCTTTGCAACAGGGCTGCATCTTCTCCGCCAGGCTCTTGACCAGGGACAGCGCCACCCCCTGGATGCTGATGGTGCAGCTCTCGGCACTGCCCAGCGTGGTCAAGGTGTCCACCCGAAGCTCTGTGGCCCCTGGATGAGAGGGAGGGAGAGGGAGGGAGAGAAAGAGAGAGGATAACAGAGGAGACGGGAAGAGAGAGAGGGAAAGAGAGAAAGTAGGAGGGAGAAAAAGTGAGAGGGGGAGGGAGAGACAGATAGACAGATATTCAGTGAGGCCCGGGCACAACTGTCCACCTCCTGGTCCAAAGAACCACAATGCCCATCCATCCATTTCCTTGAACCCGTGTCTTGAACACCCTTAAGTGTCCCCAAGATCATTTCTGGGTTCAGAGGTCGAAAGCTGGGGCCAAGAAGGGCCAGTCCCTGTCTCAGCTGCCCCCCACCCAGCAAGGGGCTCTTCTCTCTTCTGCTTTCCCAAGGCACAAAGGAGCCCCCTTCCCAGACACCCAAGGCCGCCCCCTCCCCGAGGCTCACCTGCCAAGCTGGACAGCGTAAAGAGGTTGACGTCCTCCACCTTCAGGTCCACCTTCCAAAGCACCCCGAATTCCTCCCCCAGGGTGGGGGGCAGCTCCTCCGGGGGCCCCGGGGGGAGAGGCTCCTGAGGCTGCAAGAGCAGCAGCAGCCGGGAAAGGCAGTCGGCGCAGGCGTCCGAGGATTCCAGTTGCAGCCCACGCAAGGTGCAATCCAGGAAGAGGGTGTCCGCATGGGTGCTGGACGTCCCCAGAGGCTGGTTGTAGCTGCCCTGCAGAGCGAGCAAAGGGACAACGTCTGGAGAGGCCCTGGGGTGGGCCGAGAGGCAGCGGGCGGGCAGCCCGGTTCTCCCTCCTCCCCGCATGCAGAACTTGACGTACAAGGGTTACATGTTACTCCACGGTCTTGGTACATATGAGGATATCATCTAAATACACAAGGACCCCTTCATACAGATGCCCATGCAGCACCTCGTTAATTAGCCGCATGAATCAATCACCCCATCAATCACCCAGGCCAGGTCACCCAGGGGGCTCCCATCACCGGGCCGTGGACCAGTATTGGGCTGCATCCCCTTTGGAACCGGGCCATGTAAGCAAGCTCCCTTTGAGTGAGTGGCGGGTACTCGCGCCAATGGAGCTTCACGGAGTGCCCGCTGCCCGTGCCAATGGAGCCGTGCCCGTGAGGGCCTGGCGCTCACCCCGAAACCATTTCCACTCCCCCCCTCGCCACTCCAGAAACGTTGAGCAGCACTGGGGTAGCCCAGCTGGGCCCCTCCGCCTGTCTCGCGGTGCACCTGCAGGTTGAAGGAGTCCAGGATGAAAGCTTCTCCCCAGACATGCATGTTCGGGGGGTGGGGGGCCCTCTGGATGTGCGAGTCCGCCCCCACCCGCCAGCAGAAGTGGTCAACGGCCAGCACAGCCCGCTGGTGGACGCTCTGAGGACGCAGGTGCTGGTAATCTAAACGGGAGGAAGGCAATGGGCATTTCTATTATTGTTTTCTATTCATCTATTTGTTTGCCCCTCCCCATCTCACCACAAGGGGTCTCTCTTCCTTACTGCTTGCTCTTGGCATGGGTGGGGGGGGGTGTCTTGTTTCCCCCACCCCAATTCTTAAGGGGCAAACGGGAATCATTGCAGAGCTTGCCAGATGAGAGTTGTGTTGCTGTGCAGCGGAAGTGGGGGAAACGAGGGACCCTTTAAGACTGCTGGACTTCAACTCCCAGAATTCCTCAGCCATGGCTGGCTCAGGAATTCTGGGAGCTGAAGTCCACAAGTCCTAAAAGGCCCATTGTCTTCCCACCTTTGCACTGCGCTGAAAAAAATCAGGAGTCTGCAGATCATGAAAACGTTTAAACAAAATCTGGCCCGCTTCCTACTAAGTCAATCGGGGAAGTCAGACTCCCTTAACAACCGTTTGACTCACTTAATAACCGTGCAATTCGCTTAACAATGTGTAATTCTGTTAACAGCCATTAAGTGGCTTGCTTAATGAACACAGCAAGAGGTTGTAAAGTTGGGTGGAACTCACTTAACAACCGCCTCACTTAGCGACAGATGTTTTGCTCCCAATGTGGACGTATATTAAGGACTACCTATGCTAGGTGAAAAGGGGCTGCCAGACTCCTGATTTCTACCACGGAAAGTCAGCCGGGGGGAGGGGGGGAGGGCGGGGAGGTGGGGGGGGGGGGGAGGGGGGGAGGGCGGGGAGGTGGGGGGGGGGGGGAAAAGGAGGAAAGGGAAGGAAGAGGAGAGAGAGAGGGTGGAGA